GACGCGTGCAGGTGACAGGCAATGCCACTCAGCCCCAGGGAAGCGGAGACTGCCAGGCTTCCACAAAGCACGTACGGCAGGAAGTGTCTCTCCAACATACATTGAAAGATCACTTGTCCTCTAAATAAGATGAGAAATGCCCCAGGATGTTCATAAGAGTCTTTCCAGTTTTGCTTATTTAATATAAATTGGCTTGGTGAGGACATTGTGATCACTGGCCTTTGGACTTTGGCAGATTGGAATTCAGGGTGGGGTATCACTGAGACTTCAAGGTGACTCATGCAGGACATCTCTGTCCTCTGGACTGTTTCTAAGTGAAGTTTCTGTTCCTTGGCCTCTACAGTGGGCCATGTTCCTGCATCTGGCTGGGGTGAGCCAGGCTTCAGGTGTGACTGCTCTCCTGGTCCTCATGAGTGACTCCAGGGACGACGCACCAACTGCTCTCCCGAGTGGGGACCTCATGGGTGTGGGGGTGGAGTGACTGTCAGCCTCAAGCCCACCCCAGCCATCCCTGGGCCAGCACCGGCCAACACTGATGGAACGGGTGAGAGTGACAGGTGGTGGTGGCATGGTGGGTGAGAGTGACGGGTGGTGGTGGCATGGTGAGAAGCTCCCCACCCGCTTCTCCACTGTCATTCTGGTGTCAGCCCCTTCCGTGCTGCCTCGAGGTGACAGGAAGGCTCTCCAATCCATCCAGGGACCTGATAGACAGGCAGCTCATGTGCGGGTTGCTCCTGATTTGATTTGGGGGTTTAGAGAGTGGAAATCTTCGCTTTGTCAATTACCAGTGGCATAAACTTTCACGGGTTGCAAAAATGTTCCTGCACCCGGTTTTCATTAAAAAGGGCAGAATATAGCGCCCTCCTCTAGGTGTTTTGAAGTGGCTATGGCCTGACCTCGAGCCACCTCATTGACCTGTTAAGGTCTGTGGTAGCAGAGCCAAATTCCGCTGTCTTGTGCGACTTTTCTTTTCTTTTTACAAACTTAGGCTGCAGTTGTGTGTTGCGTTGGTGAAGTTGAACCGACTATGAACTTCTGCTCTTATTTTCTTAAAAATGTCTAGAGGCACAGTTGACAGAAATGTCACCAAGTTTCTTTTTTTTTCTTTTTTTTAAAATCTTGATCTTTCATTTTTCAAAATCAGTGTACTAAGGTTGCACAAAACACCACCCCAGGCCTGAGGACCCTCTGGTACGGCAGGGAAGGATGGGAGTCTAGAGGAGGTGTGCCAAACCCACAGAGGACCAGGCAGGGCAGTTAATATCCACAGCTTCTGTCAACTAAAAATGAAGGTCTGACTCTGAAGTCGTGGTCACATTACTATTCAAGGGTCTGTCAAAGCCCAGAGGCAAAAGTCCTTTGAGCAGGTGACTCTGTTGGCACTCGATTTCCAAAATGTAACTACCATATGAAAATGGGTTGTGTAAGTCTCACTGCAGACCGGCATTGGGACTGGCTTTCTTGTTGTAATAACATAGTTTCAAGTCACTCTGCGAGATAATGAAGGATAACGAGGCCGGGCTCATTCTAATCCCTTCAATCAGGCTCTGTGATGTCAACTGGATGCAATTTGCTGAAACTTAGATAGCGGAATGATTCTACTTTAAACCAGATTAGAGCTGGGCCGCCTTCTAGTTCCTGATGGGTATTAGGTAGTTTGATGTGTGGCTGGATACTTTATCCTGCTTAAAATGGTAATTTTGTTCACGATATTATAATCGTCATAATTCCATTTCCATTTCATATTTAATTCCAAGTGAGTAAAAAGCCACTTGCACTGTATCCTACACGGGAAATGCTGCCGACTTCCGTGTTCCTACCCTCGCTCGGATGTCGTCCTTCATTCCTTTCTTGACTGTGTCATTCCACAGGTTTCAAAATGTTTCTGGGTGGGGTGCCACCCTCGTCACGCCCTCAGAGGAGCACATTCTTGCCATCCCCTTGTTGGCTGGTCTTCATGGCCTACTCTTGCCCTTGTTTCCCGCTTTCTCTGGCCCCTGTTGGACATCCAGGGACGGCTGGGGGCTCCGTGGGTGGCTTCTGGTTGCTCTTCTCTGTCTCCCTAGTCCACCTGCCGTGAGACCTGTGATGGCCACTGAGGAATTGCTGCAGCTGTGTCAGTATCCTGAAGAGCACACTCACACACACTCACACACACTCACACACACACCCACTCTCACACTCACATTCACACACTCACACTACATACACACACATACACACTCACACATACTCACACATAAATACACACACTCTCACACTCATACACACACTCTCACAACCACACACACTCTCTCACACACACACATACACACTCACACACTCACACACACTCACACACACACTCACACACATACACACACTCACACAGACACACACACACTCACACTCACAAACACACACAACTCTCTCACACATACACACTCTCACACACATACACACACAGACACACACACTCACACTCAAACACACTCACACAACTCTCACACATACACACTCTCACACACATACACTCATACACACACCCACACACACTCACTCTCACACACACCCACTCTCACACTCACATTCACACACACACACTCACACTCACATACACACACATACCTCCACACACTCACACATAAACACCCACACTCTCACACTCATACACACACTCGCTCACACACACCCACACACACTCGCTCACACACACTCTCTCACACACTCACATTCACACACACTAATCACACACTCACACACACACACACACTAACACAGATATACACACACTCACAGACTCACACACACTCACACACTCCACGCACACACACACACACACACACACACACCCTCTCTCTCTCCTCAGGGCTCTTCACATGGTTCACTCATTAGTAACAAAGTGCATTTCTACTTCTCCAGAGGAAGCTGCTCAGCTGAGCAATCCTAAGGAGGCAAGTCGGATGCTGGCCTGCGGCCTGCTGAGGGGTCATCTGGCTGAGCTGTCACACAGGGTGGGGAACAGCACAGACTTCTGTGTGTTTGCCTGCCTCTCAACTTCTTTTGACCAAATGCATTTGCTAAAATTTAGGGGGGAAGTGTTTATTGGCAGCTGCAGTTCAGCCAAGAGCAAGATTTGGCGTTTACAAACATTTGCGGAAACGTTTTGAGATTAAAGGGTTCCTTTGTCTTGGTTGTGCACAGCAGAGGATGTCAGATGGCCAAGACCACTGCAGAGGGCTGTCCCAGCCGGGCTCCTCAGGTGCGACCTGTACAGACCAGGGCCCCGAGCAGGAATCCAGTAGTTCCTCCTAAACAGAGCTGCAGGGTCTCCTTCTCTTCTGCGGTCACCTCTCCAGCCTCTTCCTGAAGTCGTCCCTATTCTGCTTCCTGTCCTTCCTCTTCTAGCTAAGCTGAATACAGGCCATTTTCTCCAGAGCAGTGGGTGGCTTTAACTTCACGAGACCGTGAGCTCTGGTCCAGCCTGTTTCATGCTGACCACAGAAGTGAGGGTGTCGTCGGCCGGAGCACCTGGACCTCACTCTGGTCTCCCCGGGTTACAGTGACCATCCTAACCCCTGAGCCCTCGTCGTCCCCCTGGAAGAGTGCTGGAATAGCCACGGTCACCTGTGGGGTCTGGGAGAGGAGCTGGCCAGCTGGGTCTCGGGTCTGAGAGGGGCCGTTTTTGTCCTTTTGCTCCCCCTCAGAACACCTTCCCGTGAAGGAGGGTCTTCTCCTGTGCGACTCCCAGTTTCCCTCCATGCTGCTGGCTTCCCCTGCACTCTTCCTTGACCTTCTCTTCTAAACCCCACCGATTGGTGGTGTGGTGACCCTGGTTCCTTGGACACAGGGAAGCCATGTTCCCTGAGATCCCCTTCGCATCTGCACTCGGGCAGGACAGGCCATTCTAGGGACCACGATAGGTTTGATGGAAAACAGGAGTGAAGTTCTCAGCCATGGGAAGCAGGAGGGGCTGGGCTCAGCCCAGGGCAGGCGCTGCACAGCACGGGAGAGGCCCTGTCCCTGATCCCCAGCGCGGCATTAGGGGAAAAGCTAACTGATGACCTCTGCTGGCCAGCATGGGAGAGGCCCTGTCCCTGATCCCCAGCGCGGCATTAGGGAAAAAAGGAGAGAAGCTATTCCCAGTAAACCTTCCCATGTGAGCTGTACTGGCCTCAGCTGAGATTTTACTGCCCACCTTCTTCACTGGATCACATGGATGTGTGCAATGACCACTGTCTTTGAAGTGCTAATATACTTTTTAAACAAATTGAAATGTTTTGGACACTGCAGTAAGTTTCCAAATGTCTCAGCACCATAGCAAGTTTCTCTCTTGATTTCGACTTTCTTCCAAACTTTAGCCATAGTTTATTTCATGCCTAGATCAACATGATACCAGAGATGTTGCTTATCTGGACAATCTTTGGGTATGTTGGGCTAGGCCAGGATGTTGTTGAATTTTGAGTTACAGTAGAGTTCATCATACTGGGTTTCTTATAAATATTTAAATATTACTAATCTGCTTTGTTTACATAATGCAACTGAAAATGACCACCTGTTGAGATAATAAATCTCTTGTACAAAGGTGTGATCATCAGTTAGCTTAAAAGGAACTTTTAAAGTTTGTTGCGTATTTTTTTCAAAGGATGTTGGCTTCTCCCTTGACAGAGCTTTATGTATAATTTATGTATAATTCCACCTGGAGTTTAAGGCTGTAATAACTATGATAGCAACTGGAAGAAACCATGCCGTGAGCATGTGTGCTAATCACTGTCCTCAGGACTGTACCTGTGTGCCTCTGTGCAGCATGCCGGCCACATTCATAGTCCACAGTGGTTGACCCATGGACATTAATTGATCCAGGATAAAGATCACACATCCACAGGTGGGAGAGGTGAACCAAGTGCATGTTCCCCTCCAGTGAGTTACTGTGTCATAGAAAAACACAATTACAGTCGCTGTTGATAAGCATGAATTTTATGAGTTTGTAAACTGTCAATAATTTGCCTGTTTTTACATAGGTGCACACATCCAATTTCTGAATTTCTCTACTGAAGCTAACCATGACTACCTGGAAATTCAAAATGGACCTTACCACACCAGCCCAATGATTGGGCAGTTCAGTGGCACAGATCTGCCCTTGGCTTTGCTGAGCACAACGCACGAGACCCTCATCCGCTTTTATAGTGACCATTCACAAAACCGGCAAGGGTTTAAACTCACTTACCAAGGTAAGGAACCAAAAATATAAATGTGTGAATACGCTTTTATATTTAAATTGAATTTTAATGTAAGTCTCCCTGACTGGTTGAGACTGGCACAGCCAGGTTAACGTTCATGTTGGGTTCTAATGGGTGGCAGAGCCATGTTTGTCATCAGGCTGAGGACACACAGCACCCAGGAAGAGCAGGCAGGAGCAGCTCCAGCGGGGCTCCCACAGCCCCCTCCCACACCCCTCCCCACACACCCCCTCCCACACCCCCTCCCACCACACACCCCCCACACCCCCTCCCCCCACACCCCCTCCCACCACACACCCCTCCCACACCCCCTCCCCCCCACACCCCCTCCCACCACACACCCCCCCACACCCTGGTGCCTCTCCTGCCTTCCCAGCCACAGAGCCTCTCTCCACTCGTGTCCCTGTGGGACCTGGAGTCCTCTGGCATGTGGGTCAGGCCACAGTGGCACTGGAGCTGGCAGTGTCCCCTACACATGCCAACATGTGATGCTCAGGTGGCCACAGGCATTGCTCGGGTCAGGCTGAGATCAGGAGAGAGAAAACAGAGCTTGGACTCTGCCCCTCCATTCACCATCCTAATGTGGAATCTCCCATGTTATCAAAGCATTTTGACACGTGAAAAAGTTCGGCATTTTCATTTCATGTGAAGTAATTTATCTGGCCTTTCCTTGGCGGTTGTTAGATCAAATGAAACTGGAAATATCAAGCGCAGCCTATCTTCCTTTTCCATGTGGCTTAGCCTTCCTTGACTTTACACACCGACCTCAGAACAGCTTTAATAACTGATTACGGAAGGAGGCTGCGTTCCATGTTCAAGTGTAGACCTAATTCTCCCCACACTGTGGCATAGGCTGGTCTCCTGGGAGGGAACGGAGGCTCCCCGGGGACCTGCAGGGCTTCAGCAGACCCCACAGGCCACGCACCAGTCCTCACTGCTCCCAGCTTGCTTTGTCACCCTCCTTGGCAGATGCATCACTTCTTACTTGAAAGGCATTTGCACACACCCATGTGCACACATATGCACACACTCACATTTCAAACACACATGGCACCCGTGCACACACCCACACTCATGCACATGCAAACCTGCCCATGTATGCACACACACGTACACATGCACATACGTGTGCACACGTACATGCATATACTTGAACGCACATGTGCATGCACACACATGCACACAGCCACATATGCACACGGAAAACCTCAGAGAGAAAGCAACTTCCCCTCACAAAGTGGCTGTGGTCCACCTGCACGGGCACCGTCTTGCTCTTCCTCCTCTGGGAAGGACGAGTGCTCCTGCTCCAGCTGCAGGTGGCCTGGGCCTGCATGTGTCACCTGCCTTCAGAGGCCCTGGGCGTGGCCTCTCCTGCCACATTACAGCATGCCTGTCCAGATCTTTCCCAACAGTGCTCCAAGTATGTGCAGACTGCTCTCTCTCTCTCTCTCTCTCTCTCTCTCTCTCTCTCTCTCTCTCTCTCTCACACACACACACACACACACACACACACACCCCACAAGTGCACTTGATCAGGAAGAGGTGGTGAGGTGCTGTGACAGCAGCTTTCTCCTGGCTGCGCCCTGGGCTTGTTGTCCACCCGTCAAACTTACCTATGCCCACCTAAAATCCACGTGTAAGTCCACACACACTGTCCTAGTGAGGCTCAGCCACCCTCAAAACACAAACAGAGAAGACTCCAGCAAGTCCAGGGCGAGTTCCAGGAGCTGCAGAGGCCATGCTCTGCCTACTGACAGCAGCATGGACGGCCGCTCTGGTGCACTCTCCTCAAGCTGAGGTCCTGGCCCCTGCCCCTGCCCGGGAAGCGTGGCTGCCCTGCCTTGTGGCGTGGGGCCTGCTTGACTTAGTTGACATATTTTTACAGTTTGGTGGAGACATCAAATCTCATTTTCTTCTGCTGCAGCTGTCTTGTTGAATTTGTTTTAAAGGGATTTTGTGGTCACTTCTAGTGTGTTATGGGCCCTGGGTGTGGCCCTCCTCATTTCCAAAGCACCTAAAACTCTTATCAGGAGTCTCCTCCTCATGAAGTTGAGGCCAAGGGGCAGGGAGGGGCGGAGTGAATACCAGTGGGAATATTTTTAAAAATTTGAAAGTAGAAATTTAAAGTTCTTCCATATGGCATTGATATGTAAATGTCTTGGGGCTTAAATCATTGCCCCTTCAGGCAGCATTTTGTATTTTAAAACAAGTCTTTAGAAACATTAATCTAAAAATTTCCATCTTGAAAGGGAGCAGCCCCTGGCTAGAGCACCCCCTCTGACCGCGCCTGCCCCTGGCAAGAAGCATCTGGGTTTGGATGGCGTCGGTGTGAAGGGTCTCCTAGGACCCTCATTTCCTGGGCCTCTCTTGATTGCCAGGATCTTGGCACTGGTCTCTGGGGACACTCCTGCCTGGCAGGTGATGGGGTGGGGCAGACCTGATACTGGGGGTGCTCGTCTGCAGCCCAGCAGCCCCGTCTGGCCGTGAGCAGCAGGCTCTTCCTGCACCCAGGGCTCCCCATGGCTTCTGTCAGGGACCTTGGGACAGTTCTCCTCTGGGCTCAAGGTTGTGCGTTTGCCTCAGATTGTCTCTGGTCCTCTCAGGCCGCACCAGCCAGCAGGGTGGACCACCAGATGCCATGTTTGCTCTCCAGCATCTCCCAGAGAAGAAGTGCACTTCCTCCCATCGCCAGGGCTGCAGGAGCCCAGCTCCCACAGAGGGACAGGGCCCTATTTGCATAGGGGACACATTCCAAAGGGTTCTTCTAGCCCCTGAGAAAGTCCTAGGTGGTAAAGCTGGTGAGAGGCTTTGATGAGGATTTTCATCTCAAGGGAGAGGTTTTCCAAAAGGTCTTGATCAAGTCCATCAGAAGCCCCTCCTCTGTCCCCAGGCTGATGCAGTCTTTCAGGCGTGCTCTGGTGAAACCTGCACAGGGGGACTGCCCCCATCACCTGGAGGTGGCTGTTGCACCTCCAGTGTCAGGGCCACAGTCAGGCAAGACTTGGGGACAGGGCTGAGCCTCCCAGTTCCATTCACAGGCCTGTGTTTTAGGAGCTTGCTCGCTGACCACGCTCGCTGACAGGAAAGCTGGGAGAGAGTCGCTTCTGGTTTTGCAGCCCAGACACATCTCCCCAGCCCCCCAGCAGGCTCTGCTCCAGAAGAGGGGGCCCAGTGCAGGATGAGTGGGAGGGCTGCCATAGTCACCCCACACTCCTACCCTCCAAGGTTTACTCTGAATAATCTCACTCTGAGAGAACTCAGCTGAAGGACTCATAACAGTTCAGATTTCTGGCTTCAATTTAAAATCAACTTACGACATTGTAAACATTTCCTAGAGAAGGTCTCCAGGCCACTTCCGTGATGTACACATTCAGTGATTCAGACTGGGGGATGGCACCAGAAGATCTCAGAAATGACCATTTCCCAAATTCCCAAGTGAATTACAACTCCAACAGAGAGCACCTGGAAGAGGCTTTGGATCACTTCTTTTTCTTAAAATTTATTTATTTACTTAACTTGTTATACATGAGAGCAGAATGCGTTTCGATTCATAGGACACACACAGACCAGTTTTCCTGTCTCTGGTTGTTCACAACACAGAGTCGCACCATCCGTGGCTTCATGCCTGTACTTAGGGTGGATGAATCACTTCTTTAAAAACCCCTGTTCCTGCTCATGGGCAGAATCGCAGCCTCTGGGACCCGAGTTCCCTATGCTTCTCTTTTACTGGCAAAGCAATTAAGCTTTTTTCCCTTTTTCTTAAAAGTGTGTCCTCCTTACTGGATTGGCACTGGGGACAAGGACTGACTGTGGTAACATAGGTGGGCAGTGAGGGGTCCCCGGTGTGAACGCACCTCTCCTTCCCGTTGTTCTCACTTCTCCCCACGTCTCCTCAGTTCCTACTGAAGTGGGTTCTATTAAAGTAAAGCATTTCTCTGGCCAAAGTGGTGCACACCTGTCATCCCAATGGTTTGGGAGGCTGAGGCAGGAGGATAGTGAGTTCAAAGCCAGACTCAGCAGATCAGCGAGACCCTAAGAAACTTGGTAAGGCCCAGTTTCAAAATTAAAAAAAAAAAGGACTGAGGATGTGGCCCAGTGGTTAAGTATCCCTGGGTTCAATCCCTGGTACCCAAAACTAAATAAAGTAATTAATTAATTAATTACATTTTTATTAATAGCTTTTTATTCCTGATCATCATATTAAACTAGATTATTACAGGTAAATCTCATTTTAATTAACATCTTAAAATCTGAGCCAATAAGAAAAGTATAACAATTATATATTTCAAACTATTAGCTACCACCTAATTGGTCTATTTTAATTGACAGTAAAAAATTTTGAGAAGTCATTTCCATTTTGAATATTTTTAATTCTGTATTCAACATTCCTCTTTTCTTCCCTTAACAATACCACAAAAACTCAAATATGCATTCCCTTTCTAGTATGATTTGCCATGTAGTTTTCAAATTTGCTTCTCTCAAATAATTTCTAAACTCCATAGTTAAAAGGAATGTGAAGAATTTTGTTGGTTTTCTCTTGATGTTTTCCAGGTAGCTATGTAAACATAATTCCAAAAGCTACTGATCATTTTAACTTGAAAAGAGTTAAAATAGTAGTTCGCAAACAAACTCCACCAAAAATATACTTGTAGAAATTGCCTAGATCAAAGGTCCACTGCCGTGGGTTCCTGTTTTAGAAATTGCCCAGGTTTAGCCCTAGGCCATACGTGAGGTGCCATAGGGCCACCACCCTCCCTTCCCTCTTGCTTCATGAGCATCTGGAAGTCTCTGGCCTGCACCTGCAGTGGGGCCCCCTGGGGTCAGCTCAGGCCCTCTCCAGAGTCAGCTACCTGTCTGCCGAGCTCCTGGATGTCCTGTGGCCTTTGGACATGTGGATCTGTGAGTCCCCATGGAAGATAAGCACCTTCTGATTGATACCCAACTCTGAGTCCTCCAAGTACAAAAATCACTTGAAAACATCTTTGTTACAA